TCCTTTCGGGTTGCGGAGGCAGAGAAGAGAGACAGTACTTCCAACGTTCCTGATCTTCGGCGACTTCGACTGGAGTCGAGAGCATACTCCATCCATATATTTGCACCCGCTTAATCTTTGCCGTCAATCTGCCTTTTGCCGGTTAGCTGGGCAAGCACTAGTTGCTTAGCCTTCTTTTCTGGAGGCATTAGCAATACGTGTCTAAGCCATCGCACAAAGGCTGTTCCGGATATTAGTATTACGGACCATGTCGAGACGCCTAAGGCCAGCGACTCGTCTAAGAAACCCCCTTTCAACCGCTTGTATCCGAGTTCGAAGCTTTTCAGTCATGGTCCACGATTCATGACCGTAGATAAGCATGAGTACAAAATACGACTTGAATAACGAGAGCTTACTCTTCAGGCTCACCTGTGTTGTGCTGACAACGACTTAGATTAATTCACGCAGAACAGCACTGACTATTCCAATTAGCCGGTCGATCTTTTCCGGCAATTTTCCGTCACTAAAGCACTACCTCGAAGTACTTGAATTTTTGCACATGCTCCACTGCTTCTCCGTTTATCTGAAGAGAGCTACGGACAGAAGAACGACAAAGCATTAGACACGTTCCAACGCATGCCGGCCACGTCGCACTCGGCTGTGAACCTTTCCAAGGAGCGCTGTGGATTAGTGTCAGAAAATATCAGCGAAACGAGGTCGTCTGCAAGCCTTCTCGTCTCGACAGCTTCTTCTTCTTGAACTTGTCACCCTGGCTGTGCATGACCATTCTATCCATGTACAACATAAACGTTAGAGGGGACAGGGCGCAGCTATGGCGGAAATCGGTGCCAACGCTGAAAGGTTTCGACTTAACACCATTTTCTCAAACGCAGCGCCTGCTATCAATGTACAGTGATTGGATGGCCCGCAACAACTGGTAATCGATCTCATATGTTCACATCTGGATGCAGTCGTACTCTTCCTCTAAGTCAACGAGGCACATTCACACCGAATCAGCGAAGTCCAACAATTTCTCTACAAGCTGGCATAGGGCAAACATGTGATCAGAGGTGCTTCGTTTGGGCTGGAAGTCACATTGCTCTTGGATTCAGTTATTTCGCGGCACGTTCTTTCAGGGATTTTTGCGTAGACTTGATTCGACAGGCTCAATACGATAATGTCTGGATAATTGGAGCACTCCCGTTGGTCTCGCTTCTTCGGACCGTTCTTCAGCCCGCTGGTATCGTCCCCGTAGCCATTGCAGTTTCGCAGAAATGTGTAAGCCAGCAGATACTTTTTTCAGCTATTGTTTTAAGCATTTCAAAACGGATTTCATTACTTACTACAGCCTTTTCATTTTTCAAGCTCTTCATGACTTGCGTGATTTTATCTGCAGAAAGAGTAATATCCTATCTGTGCTGTTCTACAAGCCAGTTTTTTTGCGGTTG